TATTGAAATACTTTTTCGAGCGGAAAACATAAATAAATTACATATAATTAAGCTCGAGCGGTACAGGAGATTACCTTTAGGTACTCCTAACACGCGCAATATTTATTTGTATATTATTTTAACGTACGCTTGGTAACTGCTTGGCACGCTTCCCTACAATATTAGGGGGATCAGGTCACAGTCCACCACGCTGGCCGAGTGCGCGTTAGCGAGCTTCACATGTCTTTAGAAAACTTGCTAGTTTCAAACATTCGGGTTTTCACTATCAGTTGAGACATACTAATATCAAAATACGAATATGTGTTTCGGTTTTCCTCCTATTTTAACCCCCGACGCAAAAAGAGGGGTGTTATGAGTTTTACGTCGATGTCTGTCTGTCTGTGTGTGTGTCTGTCTGTGGCATCGTAGCTCTTAAATCTATGGACCGATTTCGATGCGGTTTTTTCATTTGAAAGCCAATTTCCTTGCGGTGGTTCTTAGCTATGTTTGGTTAATATCGGTCCAGCAGTGTAAGAGTATCAGCTCTTTTCCAAAATGATGTGAGACATTTTAGCGTATGATTACTCGATTAAGTATTTCACGCGAGCCAGTGTAATCGTTAAATGACAATTAATTTGCGTTGGGGGTTTTTAAATTTTAAATTTATAATTCGATTTTAATTACACGTTGAAGTATATACCTATACATACATATTTCGTTTTCGGGTCGGAGAGTGATTAAAACTACTTTATCTGAAGATCAAATAAGTAGTGAGTCAAGGAAGATTACGTAGCATGTTTGCTGCAAGACACGGGAGCTTTGTAAAGGATTGAACTAAGCGCGAGTGGCGAGTCATTTGAAAATAGTAGGATAACTGTATAACAGACGCAATGTTTTCCAGACAAATACCCGCACTAAATCGGATTCTTTGTTGTTTACAACTAGACTCTGTGCAAAACTTGTTCTCTTGTATTTTATTTTTAGTGCTCTTACTTCTAATAGCTCCTAAACTCTTAACGGTTTCAAATTCTATATAGCTCCTAAACACTTAACTGTTTATTCTTTATTTATTTCTTGTAATTCAATAATATACATACATATATACAATATGTATGTAAATATGTATATTATTATTAATATTACCTTCTCACATGTTATTTACCTCGCATTTGAGTGAGCTGAACGAGACCTTTTTTAACTTTTCTCCATTTTGACCTCTTCTGTCATCCTTTTTAATGCAAGAAACAATATTTAGATTTTTTTTTAATTTCAAATAAGATGTTTTCTGTAAGCAAGCAATCACACACTATTATAATAATAATATTAAATGAACAATTCTTGTATATATGTATCTATATATAAATTCACTTAACGTATCTCGGAAACGACTCTAACGATTTGGATCAAATTTTGGTATTAAGATAAGATATTACCTACTTTTTGTTTATCTATATTTTGTTGCCAATATATGATAACTTACTAAACGTCAAACGAAGCTCAGTCGCCCAGGTACTTAATATAAAGGGAATCAGATGAATTTCGAAATAGCATTTCATTTGATTTCCATATGATTTATAGCAGACAATTTATGTGCTTTATTTTACTTAATGTTTTGTTACAAAAAGAACTGGTTCAACGTATGAAAATCTTTGTTTTTTTGGATGTCGGTTAATGAAAAGATATTGACTGTATTTAAACGGTTTAACCGCGCCCCAGTACTCAAAGTGGGCGTTTCGAGTTAATAGGCTTAAATATTAATAAAATAGAGGACGTCTTGTTCATTTTGTACTCAACGGGCTTAGAATCGCTTACGAATAAAAAGTTTAAAATTTCTATTAAAATGACATATAATATTGATATTTTTTTATTTATAATCCGAACTAATATTATAAATGTGTAAGTGTATTTGTTTGTTTGTCCTTCTTTCACGTTGAAACAAAATTACGGGTTAGGGTGATTTTTTATGTGGAGATAGTTGGAGGGTTGGAGAGTGACATAGGCCACTTTTTACCGCGGAAGCATATCTCATTCCCACGGGAAAACACGTTATAGTACATAGTTGTACAGTATAAATAACATGAAAAAAAAAACGCAAAATCGATTCAGATAATGAGATATCTCACTCGTTGAAGAGTTAGTAATTCCAAACTGAATTCTCAACTAAATTGGAAGTGGGTCAACTACATCCTCTGGGATACGTGAATAATTGTTGTAAAGGCTTTTACAGTACTGACCTGCCTCACTGTAAACTATAACTAGGCTACACATTTCACAGTATAAACCTATTAAATATTTTTTTTTAATTATAGAAATCTGTCATAATTTTTGATATATAAAGCGTTTTTTTTTTGTTTTTTTTTTGTTTAGAACATCAAATCTCTACAACTGCCAGTTTGATTTAAAAGAAATAAAATTTTTATTCGCCTCGCTAAGATTAATCTAAACAAGCGGATTAATAAATTATTACATTATAATCAAGCAAAAATAAACTACGTGAGCAGAACCACGTGCAAAGTATAGTATAATATAGTATAATTTTCTATAAATAAAATGATTGTATAAACCATTTAGTATCCAATTGGTCTACTAATAATCGTCATAAAATCTTTCACAGAGTATATACCCATACATATATTTTTCAACCGACTTCAAAAAGGAGGAAGTTCTCAATTCGACTGTATTTTTTTATGTTTGTTACCTCAGAACTCCGTCATTTATTAACCGATTTGGACAATTTTTGTGTTGTTTGAAAATGTATACTTCCAGATTGGTCCCATTTTCTTTAAATAAAATGATTGTATAATCCATTTAGTATCCAATTGGTCTACTAATAATCGTCATAAAATCTTTCACAGAGTATATATACATACTTAGATTATTATTATCATACTATTTTAGCGTATTAAGACTATTTATTTTTTCTTGACCATTGAAATCAAAAAAGTTTAGCTACATAATATTTAAAATAAATTATTTTTTACTGAACATTGTTAGCCAATAAATCATTCAAACCGCCTGCATAATGCTCATATTTTAATATATCTAAAATATAATTATTATAAATATTTTATATACAGTGATATTTCATTTAGATAATATAGTGACATAAGTACACATATGTACAAAGACTTATTTATATTATCTATAATAGGTAAATAAATTGTAATACTATGTTGATAAAGCCTTTTAAATTGATATACGGCTTCAATAAAATCTAACTAATAGCATTATGTGATGCGTGCATCGTTATCATTTGATACAGATTAAGGACATAACGATCACTGATTAAAATCTAAATAATTATTTATTTTGAGAAACTTTATATTTTATATACGTTTTTATTATCTTTTCTTTGTAGCTAATTTATCAACTTTGTAAACTTTTATGACTATGGCCTGATTCCCCTCGTACTGAAGGGAGGCCCGTGCCCAGCAGTGGGACGATAAAAAGGGCTGAATACAACACACAAAATGTATTGGAGCTGTATATATAACTTATGTAGTTGGAATCGTTATGAAATAACCTAACACATTAAAAATGGTTTATTCTGAAACTGAAAACTGAGTCAAAATCAGTCTAGCAATTTCGGAGATTGGCCGTTTTTCTTATAAGTACCGTATAATTTCATATGCATTTAGTAAAAAGCTGTTATTTTGACGTTACAAAAAACACTTTAATTATATTTATCTATATGTATAGATAATAATTTTAAATTTTAATAATCTTTCATATATATCCTCTACAATATAAATAGATAAATCATTTAATTTAATCTATAACTAACTAATGTATTTATCGGATCAAAGTCAGAATTAGCTTATCCGTCACACCAGCTTATAATATATCCATTATGATTGATAAAGCCTTTGACCGAACTAACCACTGTAGTCAGTCAGTTTAATACACATATTAACAAATTGATAGCACTATGATCCTTTATTCTATTCAATAGTTTTAATATTTAATAAAGCATATTTATTATTCGAAACGCTAATACTTTATAGATAAAATATGTAAATTTGAATATTACATGGTCTTCTTCTTCTTTCTGCTCGCCTTTTGTTCGTATTTAGACAATTTTGCACTTTGTGCGTGAGCTTATGCTTTTCCTTGTGTTTTTCTTTCCACGCCAGGACGACCCAGTAGTCTAACAGGCTACTCCTGGGAAATTTCTGGGAGTGATCTTCTGGTGCCTAGTTTTTAGTTCTAGCATTCAAGCAGAATGTGGGCTGATGTTTCGTCCCCTTGAAAACACGCTTTGCACAGGGGGCTGTTGGTGATACCTATATTAAAAATTGTTTATTGAAATATAAAAATGATGTTTATTGATATAGCAGTGTCCTGTTATGCATAAGTCTTACCACCATTTTTAGTTAAGTGCTACCTAGGTGTATTATTTTGGTTGTTAGTTGTTTGTTAGGTTTGGGGAAGTCTTCTTTGGATTGACGGTAGCCAATGTTTGCGTTTCATATATCGACTGTTTTGTTAATTAGGTCGTATAGCCATGACTTGTATTCACTGAAGGGGATTGGGGTTAAGGGTGCAGGCCCTTGTACCTTTAGTTTTGAGGCGCGTTTACCTAAATTGTCGACAGTTGAGTTGCCTTTAATATTGGTACCATTTACCCAAAAAGTATTCGCAAGCATTTAAATAGGTAAAAATGATATTTTTTTATAGTTGACAGTCACGTGGGATTTTTTATAGAAATAATAATGTTTTAACCAATTTTTTCTACATTATCTCTTTCTCGGATGGCGGCAAAAACCACAAGAATGTAATGTACAACCGCTGGCTTGCAGCAACTTATATACTGTGTAAAACTTTGTTTAAAATAACATAACATAAACAAAAATTAACATTCTGAAACCGACTACAAATTCTTTTACTAATACAATGTTGTTCAGTGTGTGAGCAAGACTGGTTATTTTAATAAAGTAATAGAAGGAGACACTATCCCTGAACAAAATATATTTGTAACTTTTTCAGGCAGTTCGTTGGTATGTGAGGGGGGCGCAGTGAGAATGCGGGCCGAGCGCTCGGGGCGGGCCGCGCTCGCGCTCGCCGCGCTTCTAGCGCTCGGGCCTTGCTCCGCCGAGCTTGAGATTACTACTGCTGCTGCGTTTGGTATGTACATTTTAATCTAATATTATGTAAATCTGTATGTTTGTATGTATATATTAGTTAACTGCCTTGGTGTCTTAGTGGTCCTGGGTTTGAGTCTCGTTTCGGGTCAAGTTTAGTTATTGAGAGTAAAACTTGAGGTACGAAATCCTCAGTGGTAGCCCGGGTTTAGAAAGTTGGCGGTGCTATACCTTTGTGCTTCGGAGAGCACGTAAAGCCGTAAGTCCTGCGCCTGATCTCTCACCGGTCGTGCTGAATTATCGTCCCATCGGATTTCTAAAGAGAAAAGAAATGAAAGAGTGCACTTTTTGCACGAATACTTGTGCACTATAATATCTCCTACGCAGTTGGCTAGTTTCAGTGAGATTGGCCAATCTGTGCTAGGCCAAAATCAGTCAGGAGGTTATCATATTATTTAGGAGATAGCTTTTTAGCTAGTGTTAGATTGTTTATTATTAGTTTAAATGTTTCTATGTCAGCTGTCTATTTGCGAATGGCTGGAGGGTATCTGTAAAGATTTTTTCTACTTAGATAATACTTAGAAAATCTATCTTAGTTTAATTTATAAATAAAGCATTTCCATGCAAAGGTCAGCTATTAAATGTACTCGTACTGTAAATAGAAACACTTGCAATAATATTGCATGGATATCTCATATGTAGTGATCCAGTATATATGTGACATTAGATGAAGAGTTGGAGGTTTTTCATGAAAGTTTCAAATAAATAGGGACAGTGTATATATATATATATAAGACGGAGGAGGATTTAGTTACCTTTTTCTGTTATGAAACCTTATTATTGTTTAAAGTCACTATGTTCTTTAATTTACTTTTTTATTGCTTCTAAATAGATTTTGATTTTAGAGCAGAGATTTAGTCTCGAGCGGGGTCGAGACGCCATCACGACATTCTTTGGAGATACGTGGCTTAGTAACGTTGGTTGATCATAGAGAGATATATTTGATATTGTAGTTGGAAGTCGATGATCGGTGACTGTGAACCCGCTAGCTCTAAATCATTAGAATTACCGTTTCAAGTTTATAACATTGTGACTTCCCTGATTAAACTGTGTATTGAGCACTGAATACTTTATTATTTGAGCCCTGATAACGCCCAAAAGATGAGTAACCACTAAAGATGATGTTCGTAGTATATGGATAACACGACATCAGAAGTGGGATGATACCCGAAGAACAGGGCAAAGATAGATGACAGCGGCCATTTGAAAATTTTGTTGCGAAAATTTTCTCAAAGTGAAACGAAATGCGATGTCAAATGTTATTTAAAACGGACGCACAAAATGGCGATGCATATGCGGGTTGTTTTACAGAAGATTTAGTTTTTGATAATCATGAATCATGATGATATGATATACTCGTATGCAAGATGCTCAAAAGATTAAAATAATCATAGATGTCTCAATTTAATTTTTATGAAATGACATGACGTCGACAAAGATTTGTTGCTAGCTGGATTTGATTTTGTTGATATTATTATCGCAAAAATATTTTTGAACACAATATGTATGGAAAAATTAAATGGAAAATTTGTTTATTTCAGGATGATATATGAAGTTAATTTATTTAATCGATAAATTACGAGAATTATTTTTGAAATGTTTTTGTTCGATGCTTATAAGGACCTTCTTCTAGTTATGAAATAAAATATAAATCATGTCAGAATTTTAGAATGTCAAAAATGTTTTGTATTGTAATTGTTTGCTTTATATTTTCTTTATTTCAGGATTTCTAAAGTGAAAATAATGAGTTGATATTTTTGTTTAAAGATTTGACTAACAGATTTAACTATTTATCGACAGAAAATAAACGGACGATATTTGCGAATAATATTGGGAAAATTACATAGTTCCTTTAACTTGCGTATTCATTTCGGTTATAAAATTTTTATTTAGCAGTTGATACTAATTTAAAAATTTTCTAGCAGTCCATCAGGTAAAAGATGTTCCAAAAGAAATATGAGAAATGGTGATACAGTGACAAACTAATGTTTGTGTACACTCCGAAGACATTCTCATTCGCACGCTGAGATAGAAATCTTTGATTATAATACCGATTTCATATGTCCTTATTTGGTCCCAAGATTAAACATAATTAGATTGGGCCGATGGTAATATCAACTGTGGCACAATAATAAATAATATGAATTTTCAGGTGCTTTGTTTCTAGTGTTCAAAATATGTATTTAGCGTAAAGAGGACGATTTCTTCAGCCAGATAAATAAATCACGCTAAGCCAGACCACATAAGACGTATACAATGCCCTAAAAGAAGACGGTGTCCGGAGATGCTTTGGCTGTGCAAAAAAATGGATATCTGTGGACTGTTTTATTTAATCTAATATGAATGTTATATGGTGAGACGTTTCCATTATGTTTAGATATATGAGGCAAGTGATCTCAGAATGTACCGTTATATACGGTTCTAATTATTGTAGTTATTTCCAATAATATCTAGCAGCTTAACATTAATGGACCTACGTAGCACAAGCTAGGGTGACTGAATTGACGAAGTTATGTAACATTGACAAGCCGAAGTAGCACGATGAGGCTGTATGATTCTGATATTGCTGTGCGACGATGGTGGAAGGTGGTATTTAGACAATGGGGTGCCTATTTGGCGTTGACGAGTCTTTGTAGCAAATGTAGCCTGAGTGGCGAGAGTTGCCTGTGTGGCAAAAGTAACCTATGTGGCACATGTAGCCTGAATGGCGAGAGTTGTCTGTGTGGCATCGGTTGGGTTCTGTCGCATCGTTTGATTTGTGTGGCACTGACTTAACTTGATTAACATATGAGACACTTACTTCTGTAACTTGTACTCAATGATACGTAAGTTGTGTGTATAGTCTTTAGGGTTTCAGTCAGTTTAAAAATTAAGTTTTGAGAAATTTGTCTCAAAGAAAACTAGTTAGGAAGAATGAATGAAGTATGATGTGAATCGCTGTTTATTGTTTACACATAAAGCTAAACATTTACCCAATACTCATTGTGTTAGGTACATTGGAATTTGAGGGTGTCTGTTTTTACTAAGTAAACTTTTGCAATATAATATCTACTGCACCGATTATTAGACTCAGTGAGATTGGCCACTGTGGTCATATTTGGTCAGGATTGGCCGAACAATGTTTTCTAAAAATTTGCTTTTTTTCTGTCTACAGATGACGTTTATGCTAGACTTTCAAGATCACACGAGGGCGTGTGAACAGCAGGATGGCCGAGACGGAGGAGGATTTAGTTACCTTTTTCTGTTATGAAACCTTATTATTGTTTAAAGTCACTATGTTCTTTAATTTACTTTTTTATTGCTTCTAAATAGATTTTGATTTTAGAGCAGAGATTTAGTCTCGAGCGGGGTCGAGACGCCATCACGACATTCTTTGGAGATACGTGGCTTAGTAACGTTGGTTGATCATAGAGAGATATATTTGATATTGTAGTTGGAAGTCGATGATCGGTGACTGTGAACCCGCTAGCTCTAAATCATTAGAATTACCGTTTCAAGTTTATAACATTGTGACTTCCCTGATTAAACTGTGTATTGAGCACTGAATACTTTATTATTTGAGCCCTGATAACGCCCAAAAGATGAGTAACCACTAAAGATGATGTTCGTAGTATATGGATAACACGACATATATATATAGCAGATTATTCTTTACTATTCACGTTACTATTATTTGTGTACTAAGCTCCATTCACTTGTTATCAGACGCGCTTTTTCAAAAGCAATAAACGTTTCATAAAAAGTGGTTAGCATTTTTACTAGCTGTAAAGGTTTAGATGAACAGTTTAACGATAAAGTTTAAACGAGTTGGTCGCAAGCTTTCAAATCCAAGCTCTAACTGTGGTGTAATCTAACTTAATGGAAATCCACTGGGAAAACTAACGGTTAATTCAAATAGATAACCAGAGGTTCGACCAAATTTTTGAACTTTGAATTTTTTCGAGTGTGCATATATGTATTTATATATATATATATATATATATATATATATATATATATATATATATATAGTGTACCGACGATCTGGTATCCATAACACAAGCTTGGTGCTTACCATGGAACTAGGTGGTGCTGTGTAGTGTTAATGACCCAGCATATTTATTTAATAATATTTAAACATTAATGTTTTTTGTTGTCAGATCCATCGAAACGCGGCACAATGATGTATGGGGACCCGTGCTCTACACTGCAGGATTGTGGCTTTCCTCAATCAATATGCGACTCATTACACAAAACATGCCGTTGCCATCCAGAATATCCTGTTACCAACCATGTGGATAAATGTGGAAAAGGTATGATAAAGTATATTATATACTGTGTATATGAATATATGCGATTTTTAGATACGGAGTCTGTTTGTCTATTTCACTTTTAGCTATCCCAGATCTCGATATATCGCTTCAGTTTTGATAAAACTTTATAAATATTAATTAAAAACATTAAAATAACTTACAGGGCTACTTATAAAAAATATATAATTGATTCATAATTGGCAAAGACATTGTATAACATAAATCCCAAATAAATATATAAAAAAATTGGGTATCTCCTCCTTTTTTGAATCAAACCAAAAATAAATATACTTTTAAGGGAATTGTATAGGACTTATGAGGAGTAGTAATGGGAGGCCAAATGCGAAATATTTATTAGTAATAAAATAAAAAAAATTGCACTATCTACCTCCTGGCTCAACTAGATGGTGTCAAATTGTATTATCGTCCAGACATACCATACTTACAAGATTTTAAATCGGTACGTAAAATGAAAGGCTTAGCCCATTCGTTACGCGCTCATTTGAGAAATTGAATGAAGCGGGTTCAAATCCCGGATCTCGCACCTCTGAAATTATCATGTGCGAATAATTTCCAACATGATTACCACTTATCTTACGGTGGAGGGAAACAACCTATATGTCTGAGAGAACCTAGTAAGTTTTTGCAAGACATGTGAAGTCGCCAACCACTTGGCCATAGTGGGAGACTATGGCTTGATCCTCCTCGCATTAAAGGGAAGCCCGTGCCCAGCAGTGAAACTTTAAAAAGAGCTGAATACATAAAATACGCTAAATTGAGAAGTTAAAATTGACTTCCAAAATTTACATAATAATTTAAAAGTGAAGCTTATGAAATCGTCTTAAAAATGGGTCCTCATTATAATAATATGAAGATAAACTTTCTATTTCTTTTCTTATCACTACACTGCTATCAATCACTATGAAATGCAAAGCCTCTCGACTACGGCAATGCATTTTATATCGACTTTACCTCGAATAATAGTTCAAAGCAAATAGGGATATTGTGAAAGTTTATTTTATATGTATTATTCAATAGGATTTATTTTGATTTTATAAGTTTACTTATAAAATTATATTATATTTTAGGTATGAAGAAAGATGACGTTTTCTAAATTTATACATATTATATCTAGTGGTTTTAAAGCGTTTCAAACGAATCGAAAGAAGAAATATCCAAAAAGTATAATGTTTTCTAACAATATCAAGCTTTGTTCGCAGTAATTTTTTCTCTGTGTCTTCAGTATAAGAATTTTTGAAGAAAATTCTCTTTTAACACGCTTTTAAGAGCAACTGCTTGGCTGTTTACATTTAAAACTTTTTTTAAGTTTACATAAAAACAAAATTGGGTCAAGACAACTTCTGTAGGCTCAGCTTGTATTATTATATTATACTTCCTACGAAATTAAAGATACCCATTGAAATTTCCTCCTTATCCTTTGAACCTTATAATTTATTGAAAGCTTGTTCAAGTGGAGCCTATCCTTTTTAAAATGTACCTAATTCTCTATTGAAAATTGAAATACAATTTATGAAAATCTCTTTTAACTACGCAACTTCATAATTGCTTGTTAGAGAGACATAAAACTCAATTAAATTCAATCTTGCCTTCATTATACGCTCCAAAGATTTCTTATATACTTATATTTTAATTATCTTATATATAAAATTTCCATGTCACAATGTTTGTTACCGTACTCCTCCGAAACAGCTTTACCGATTTTTACTAAATTTTATATGCGTATTCAGTAGGTCTGAGAATCGGCTACTATCTATTTTCCATACCCCTAAGTGATAAGGATAAGGGTGGTCCTCCCAGACCCCACCCCAGGGACGAACCCGAGCGGAGCGAGGGTGAGTCGCTAGTTTCTTTATAATATAAATGAAATGAGTTTTTATAATAACTCCGTTCTTTTTCAATGTAAAAAAATATAATTTATATATTATATATAAAATATTTAGCACTAAAACCTCCATTGTAATAAAATAAATAAATGTAAGGCCTATGTTAGAAAAACAGCTCTTTTGCTGCGTAACGATAAAAACTTCGTTCAAATGTCGTTTCTTCCCACCTTGTACTTGAGGGAGTAACAAGAGGGCCGTTGGTGAAAATTTGACGATTGTTAGAGCCAACAAAAGAAGAAAATTGCTGTGTAATTCGTAAATAAAATGTTAAATTTTCACTGAACGAATTCTAAGGTACTAAGTAAGTAATTTTTACTGTTACCATTTTATTAAGTGACGCATGTAATAGAGGAGTAAAATATTTAAGCATTATTTTTTAGTTCTTTAATTTAGATTGATATTTAGACTCTTGTAAAAAACATAATATGTATGTATATATAATTGCTATATATAATATACATATATTGTGTAAAATTTTATTTGAATATTAGCAACTCACCCTCGCTCTGCTCAGGTTCGTATCTTGGTACGTTTTAACGTTTAGTATAGATTTCTCAGAGATGAGATATTTTCCCGTAGTAAAAAGTATCCTAAATGTTGACTCGGATAAATAACTATCATCATACCAAATTCCATCAAATCTGTCCAGTGTTACCTCAGTGGTACCTCTTGATGCGTTCCCAGACAGATAAAACAAAAATTCTAAAAACTATAGATTCGGCATCTGTATCGATAATAATGACTATTTCAATAAGATTTTCTGTACAGGTTCGACTCAGAATTTTATTACATGTACCTATAGATGTATAGATAAATATTTCTATTATTTATTTAAGTATTTTTGAATTAATTTCAAACTCTAAATACATAGATAAAATTTACTTACCGCGTATCTAGTATAAGTAAAAATTAAAAAAAAATTAACACTTTCACATTGTATAGGATCGATTCAAGAGAAGTGGAACGTCGCGTGTCCTCATTGCCGTTATGGCTGTATAATGCAATATAATTATGTAGTATCTGCATAATGATTCTACAACATGTCACTGTATACTGGTCAAATATAGATTGTAGTACTTATATGTTTAGTTTGTTGTACTCTTTGATTAGTTCTAGCTAAGCTACCTTTAAAACAAATATAAAACAAGTATAAAAAAGTATGTTTTTTTCTCATTTGTAAATTAAAAATGATAATCTTAATTTATTTACAAATAACATTGCCCGTGGCTCCGCCCGCGTTCAGATGACCAAAAATCAAATTCTTAGATTTTACATTGCAGTTTTTGTATTTTTTTCTTAGAAATGAGACATTTTCCCGCGGTTAAAAGTATCCTATATGTTGACCCGAATAACCAGCTATCACCATACCAAATTTCATCAAAATCCCTCCTGTGGTTTTTCTATGATGCGGTAAAAGACAGACATACAGACAGATAAAAATTCAAAAAACTAAATATTCTGCCTCTGTATAGATAATAATGTTTATTTCAATAAGATTTTCCGAAAAATATTTAATGTACAGATTCGGCTTAGTTACAATTTTACTATACGTACCTATAGATAAAGAAAATTACAAATATACTTAATTATATATACAAAACAAATGTACACTTAATTATTACTCTACAAGTCATGTCCGCGTGGAATAGTGGCAAGAATGCTAGCCGCATTCCCCCGTTGAATGGCAATGCCGATTCTTTTGGCGAAAAACGAGCTAACTCTTCTGTCACCAGTAGAGGCGATAAATCTAGGTGTTACGTCTTAAAAGTAGTGTTTAGCATTTGACTCTATGGACCAAGTATGCTTTTATCTTCATTACTACAATTTTCTTATGATAGAATCAATCTGAAAGTCCAGATACGGATAATATTGCTTCTATTATATTGATACCTGTAAAAGAAAATAGTGCAGGTTAGTATTGAGATAATTTAACGAAACGATTATAGAGTTACTTATGGACCCTTAGAATTGTAATTTTACAAGAATTTTATGGGTGCACTTTTGAGTTATATCCTATTCATTAAGTAAATAATTATTAAAATCAATACACTATTGAATATTATTAACATTTACACAAAAACATACATCTTTTTTAAAGTATTTTAAAATAATCAACAAATTATCTACGTTTGTTAAAACTGAGCTACAATGTTGCTCAACGCAAGGGTGGTATACTGGTTAAACACGAAATATCATACTTATTTGTTTTATTGCTCTCAATGACCAGTTCAAGTAGAACAAACAAATAGAGCTAAATATTAATGTAAATATCTGATTAGGTATCTATTCTAAATGAAAATCTCCCTTTAGTAATTTTTTACATTTTAGTGCCTTCCAGGCATTCGGTTTTCATTTTTTGTTAAAAAGTTTTTATTTTTCCATTTTTTGTGTAGACATAATAAGCAGGTAATTTGTAAGAAGAAAGTTTTTTAATAACATATTCGATTAAACAATTTATTTTAAAAAATATTTGTAGTTGATTTTTTTAAAAACCGCTCGACCGATTTCGATAAAGTTTATATGGGACCACCTGGGAAGTATACGCTTTGAAATAAAAAAAAATCTAAATCAGTTCAGGCGTCTTCGAGTAATCGGTGAGCATACACAAAAAAAAGATTCCGATAAATTGAGAACCTCCTGCTTTTTGGAATTGGAAGTCGGTTAAAATTGTAACTAAGCCGAATCTGTACATTAAATATTTTTTAGAAAATCTTATTGGAGTAGACATTATTATCGCTACGGAGCCCGAATCTATAGTTTTTTTTTATCTGTCTGTCGGTGAACGCATTATGAGAAAGCCACTGGACATATTTTGATGAAATTTTAGTATGACGATAACTGGATATCCATGGTGATGGTTATTTTTACTACGGGAAAATATCTCATCTCTGAGAAATCTATACTAAACATTAAAACGTAATTAGAGACGAACCCGAGCGGAGCGAGGGTAAGACGCTAGTATATACCTATAAAGAGGTCTGGATTTGACAATTATGACTTAAACAGATATACGAGTACAATGCCAGCAAAATCACTAACGGTGATGAATATTAAGATATCACACCAAGTGAATGATTTAGCAAGTTCGTTTGTTACTCCTTTACACTGTAACTGCTTTAGTAATTTTAGTGAAACTCCAAATAAAGGTATCTTATATATCCTCAAATAAAACATTTTTTTTAATAATGTATCTATCATTCGAACGCCTCTGCCTCGGTGGTGTAGTGGCTAGCATGTACGGCTGCACACCCGGAGGTCCTGGGTTCGAGTCCCGCGTCGGGCCAAGTTTAGTTATTGAGTCTTTCTGTATAGTAAGTCTCAGTAACAGCCTGGAGTTGGGAAGTTGGCGGTGTTTCACCCCCGTGCCTCGGAGAGCACGTAAAGCCGTAGGTCCTGCGCCTAAACTCTCACCGGTCGTGTCGAGTGGTCGTCCCACCGGAGTATGAGAGTGATAGGAATAGAGAGTGCACTTGTGTCTGCGCGTACACTTGTGCACTATAATATCTCCTGCGCATTTGGCTAGTCTTAATGAGATTGGCCGCCGTGGCCGAAATCGGCTAGGAGTACATCATCATCATCATTCGAACGGTGGTCATGGGAAAAATCTAATTAATTTAATATCAATTATTATTTATCCTTTGTTTTATATTTTAATCTTAATTATTGCTGGCCAAGCATTAAAACTGTAGACTCGTGCATATTTTAAATTAACTTTTTCATAAAATATTTAAAACAAAACTGTTACGAGCTCTCGTGACTGTAAAAGGTTATTATGGAAGTCCATTAAAAATTCCTAGGTTTTTGCAAATTAAATTGTAGATGTTTTAACACTGTTTACTTCCAAACCATGGGTATTATAATAAAATTTCTATGAAAAATAATATTTTCTTTTAAAATGTGGTTTCGTAGTAATAAAGCAAATATAGATAACATCTAAAGTAATGACAAGAATAATAAAGTGTTTTACATTGTTTAATTTTAAATTCTTTGTTTCTTTTATCATGTTCTTAGGAAAAGGCAAATAATATAGTACTTTAATTTAAATAATAATTTGAGCATAATTTGTGTTAATTTAACATTGGGCCTACTCGGGAATCGAATCAATGACCTTTTGTATATTGTGCCTATTAAAAAGAATACAATTTTTCTTTATCCTACTATTATTCTGAATGAACGAATCGTTTCTTCTTCAAAAGGATACTTAATAAAAACTATAAATATGTTAGGACGTTAACACACTGCACCATCTAGTTCCATGGTAAGCTATAAGGCTCGTAGTATGGATACCAGATAGTTGATACATTACACATATATAACTTTAAATACATACATATTATAAATATCAACACTATGCCTCTATTACAAACATTCGCATCCCATCGTCACACAGATGAATGCCCCAACGGGACTCGAACCCACGACCACTGGCACAGCAAGTAGGGGCACTGCAAACTGACCCAAACGTTTCTGTAATCGTCACCCCTTTTTCTCTTGCATCTTGAATTTTTGTAACCCCCACCCCATTCTCTACTTTTTGAACGTTTGTATTGACCATACATGTTTTTTTTTAAATAATTTCATAATTTTTTTCAGTCGCTGGTATCAACGAAACTTGCATATTCAACGAACAATGTGAAGAAGTGGTACCTCAGACAGAATGCAGGAACGACCGCTGTGTGTGCTTATACGAAATGGTCGCTGGTTTGAATGATGAAGGCCGCATTGAATGTAAAGGTATGATATGTTTAATAGTTTATTTATTATTTAATTAAAATATTAATTTTTTATACACCTTTGAATGTTATCAGCGACAGCGGCACAAACACTATTGTTCTCTTTATTTTTCACTCTCAAATTCCGATGGAACGAACCTTACATGATCTCTGAGGCACGATGGTTAAAATACCGCCAACTTTCCAACTTCTAGCTATTACTGAAAATTTGGCAAGATAAATCAGGCCATACTTGGCCTAAACAGGAACTCGAACCCAATATCACCAGATCTACAGGTGTTTTTTCATGATTTTTGTATTTATATATATATATATATATATATATATATATATATATATATATCTATAGCTTGAGTTACATTGAGTCGTTATGGTGGAATATACACACATGTAAGGTGTAGTTAAGACGTAGTACGATACAGACAATAGATTTTAATTTGATAAATGGGCAAGTGACTTTATTGCCTCACTTTCTGACACATTATTTTGATAAGGAATGTTAATATTTTGTCGTGCAATACCAATGTCGTGTATGTTTTGAGAAGTTATGTGTTGCCTATTATTTTAAAAGATATTCATCAAAAAATTTACTATATTATGCATTTTTATTATATTTTTCTTCATTAGGGCTCGTTTTGGCGACCATTAATTCATTCAAGTTCTATCGATTGAGCTTTTGTTGAATCTTACTAATATTATAAATGTGAAAGTTTAGATGTTTGGATGGATGCTTGTTACTCAATCATGCCAGAATGGCTGAAGGGATTTGGATGAAATTTGGCACTGAGATAGATTATAGTCTGGAATAGCACATAGGCTACTTTTTATCCCGGAAAAATGTAGGGTTCCCGTGAGATAGATGTGTCTTTGTTTTTCTAGAGGTGAACCCGAACGAAGTGAGTCACTAGTAAGTCACAAAGTTATTTTTTAATATTTACTATGATCTGTATAAATAAAAAAATTAGTCACTGTAACTTACGTGTGCAAAATCAACACTATTCGTAACTCGTTAAATTAATTTCTTTGTATTTAATAAATAAAAACATTACAATGCCTTCAATATTTTATTTATACATTTTGTTTATATAAGTTATACCCCCAGACTAAAGAATTACTTAGACTGGAGTCATCCAAAATAAAATTTGAAGTCAAAAATAGTAACGTGATTTGTTGTTTATGCTACTACTCTCGATTTTGGCATACGGATCGTTTATTTTCTTTAAATATATCTATACTATTTTTGAGAATTAGATATGAAAAATAAATAATTTTTTTATTTTTTATATTTCTTAAGCATTACTTGTATTTAATCAGCTTATTTATTTTTATTTAGTGACATTTATTTACTTATCACTCTATATACAAATTGTCATTTCTATACTATGTATTTTAAATCATTTTTTCCTCAGTCTGAGATTATAAAATGTTAAGAAAATATAATACTATAATATGTAAATAATATTATTTATAATATTCCAGCGGTAAAGCAAATAGAAGAGCCAATAAGGACTCTAGATCCGGCTATGATTGGAGTGTTGGTGGGCATGGCTCTGATGTTCGTCATTATATGCGTGGTACTGCGTCTGTTTAGCAGGTAAATAAATTTATAATATTTTTTATATTATTACAATATTAATATACACATATATATTAATATCGTAATATATAGGTATTTGTGAAAATTATCGGCGGCCCTCCGAGCGGCAGCCCTTCAACCCTACGGCCTTTTTTTCGGTTTCTTTGATAATAATAGTTATTATAAGGCATAAGTTCCTAATATAAGTTCCTAGTTGTTATGCATTGTTGGAGAGCTAAAAAACGGTTATGTTTTTAAAATAATCTGCAAGCCAAGTTTCATAACGTTTTTTTTTTGTTTTTAAGGCATTTTAGTGGAAAAAATCTCAAAAAAATTTTGAAATAATATCGATTTTGATGTTGAATTTTTTACTTATTTTGAAAAAAAAAGATGATAGCTTAAAAAATGGTTCAATTTTGCATATTGCATAAGGGTTAAAATTATCGCAAATAGTCACCCCTATTACCTCCTAACAGGAATACGTCGAATTACTAATAACCCCTATACGGATTTGAACACCTAAGAATTAGGGTTGTATTCAGCCCATTAGGGTTATCTTATAAGTAATTCTTAAATAAAAAAAAAAATCCTTTAACACACCCACCTATTCATTGAGACCATATCAATGAGCCTAAATAAGATATATCTGCAGTGTTTTAGTAAAGAGTTGAGTATCTTGCAGATTTCAGGTGATGCTGCAGAATCAGACCAAGATTTCTATGTCATTGAAATAACAGGATACCAAGTTTCAAATCGATTAAATCTGTGGAAGTTGCTCTTATCCTTCTACCGTCTAGAAAAGAAGGACGCCAACAAACGGCTGAACGGATTTTCTTGATTTATAGCTAAAAACATTCTTGATCAAGTCACTTTTTAAAGAACACAGAAAAAATATATCAAAATCAGTTCATCTGTTTGGTAGTTACAAATTAATTTTACATAAACTTTTCCAGAGCACGTTGGAGGGAGAACCGCACCATCTTTAATACACCGAACCCACGATTGATGAACGTGTCCTTGCTACGAGACTCAAAACTTTTACATTCACAGGTATTTCAAAAATTATTATTTTACTATACAATTTACTCTTTCTTTGTAGACATAATATTTTCTCAAAATGTGTGTTTCAGTCATATAAAATACTTCAATAATTTTAAAAAACTCTAGTAAAAAGCTTTTTTAGCATATAAGAATATTAATATTATAAATCAGAAGATTTTGTTTTGTTTGATTGTTTTCTTGGCAATTTAAACGCTAGTTTCTGGGACAAACCAATCCAATTTAAAGGACCTTATCATAGCCTAATTATTGATACCTACCTATATAGACCATCTTCATCATAATCTAAGGAGTCGAGTGATTATAATATATGAATATTATATTTAAACACAAGCATAGCCACGGACAAAAGCTAATAATAAATATTGTGTGCAGTTCTCCACTGCTGGGCACGGGCCTCCCTCGATACGAGGGGGTACAGCCCATAGTTCACCACGCTGGTCAAGTGCCGGTTGGCGGACTTCAAATGTCTTTCGAAAACTTGCTAGGCTCTCTCAGAGATGCAGATTTTCCTAACGATGTTTTGCTTCACTGTAAGAAAAGTAATAATCATCTTGGAAGATGATTCGCATATGAAAATATCAGAGATCCGACGATCCGGGATTTGAACCCGCTTCACTCGGTTTCTCAACGTTACCGGGCGGGCTACCACTGCCTTATAAATATTATGAATTACATTTTTTCAGGATCGACGTGGTTCCCGTGTGAGTATGCGTCCGCCGTCGCGCCAGGCAAGCCAGCAGGAACTTAGACCACACTCTCCGAGTCCCGGTAACATAAACTTTTAATTTTTTTAAACATTTTTTGGTCATGATTTTCATTATTTTAAGCTACTTTATCTAATATATGTTGTAATTAGTTTGCTTGATTTATGTGTAGATTTATATCTATCTAATTGTGGTGTGGGGAGCTGGTGTCTTTTTCTCAACACAACTTTATAAACATATATAATGAAGTAATGACGTTGAGTTTGTTCATTAAATACTTGGTTTTTATGGTGTATATGATTTGTGTGTTTGTCTGTTTGCTTTAAATTGTCTTGAAGATTTCGTGGGTGGAAAGTTACCTTAATGTCCCCAACCCCTAAAAAGTAAATTAAACTGTTAGATAAAATATATATATATACAATAAACATAATATGTATACAATAAGCATAACCGTCGTGGACAGAAACTAGTCTTTGATATAACTGCAACATGATCTATATTGATATATACATAAATCACGAATACAAAATAAAAATGACAATTCCCTAAAATTATCATCGAAAATATTATATTTCTTAGAATTATTTAATAAGCTTTAATTTACTCTCTAATTGATGATTTTCTCATTCGATCCTATTTACCACTGTCTTTTAATTACTTCCTTAATCGCTTCGCCTTCACCATTTCTTTCATTTTTGCTATTTATGACTCTGTCACGTGTCTCATACATTATTTCATCTATCAACAGCACGACCTCACCAAAGCCATCAGCTACACCGAAAAACTTCAGGTTATTTGGGATATATTTTATTTTTGCTTCGTTTGCGATGCTCAATTTAAATATAACTTTGTGAAGCATGTTTTAAAACTTGCATTTAATACGAAAAATATGCTTAATTTTAAATTTTATTGAAGCTTTTGATTAATTATAACAATCTAGCTTAATAAGTCTATAATGATAGAAGTATGGAAATTTGAGATTAATTTTATTTTATATGTAATTGATAATATTAATTGAATTAACAATTGAATAGAACGCATGTATAATTTTATTAACAACTTTTATATTGAAAATGACTGTAGAACTAATAGTGGTGTTTATTGCCTTAAAGCATCAGTGGAGATACGACACAATGTAAATATATTATAAATCAGCTTTCAAATTAGGTTATGAAAATTTAGTAATTGCTTAATAAATCGAATTCATTAGAACTGGTGTGTGGATAAAATAACATAGATAATATCTAGCATGACAAATACGTAGGTTGAAAATGATTTAAAGTAGCATGCCTTACAAGAACATTTGTTGATAGATTTTTGAATAAATATATAATTTTAGGTTCTCGTCGAGGGTCAAGAGCAAGCAGTGGGCATTCTGCGACGTCCCTCAGATCTGCCACTATAAGGTCCCCCACTGCCCCTGGACCTACATCCGTCACTGTCGAAATACGCGCACCAGATGCGTAAACGAAACTAATGATACAAATTATAAAGAAATATATATATAATATATATATTTAAGATCAAATGCTATATGTATTCTAAAATGAGAAAATATATCGATGTTAATCGACGTTCAGTCCAAGCTTAATATTTGTGATAAACTTCGACATTATATTTATCTTGTAATCGATTAAGACTTGCTATTGTAGCAATAAAAGCACTATTCGTAATTCAGCCACTTGATAAGTGCCTCTAAATGAAATGCGTGAAGTTTGTCAGTCTTTATATTAATTGTGTAAGCTAAGCAGATTTTAATGTAACACATAGGTTTATAACAGTTTAACAAATAGATTTATCACTCTTGTTTCATTAAACACATTTTTAATTATAAGAATAGAGCACTTAATATAATCAACGATATTCATAGATAAGTAAATACATAGATAATGAGTGAGGAGTTTTAGCTTTTTTGGCAATAATCATTCGCTTTTTGGCATTTTGTAGTTCGATAGTTTAAAGTCTATTATTAAAGTTAAGTGAACGCGCATTGTTTCTAAAATATCTTCTTTTGATCCCTATTGAGAATGCTAGATTGTGAATCCCTGCCTTAGATGTAAAATTAGGTCACATGTAAGTGAAATTAGAACTAAAAATTATTTAGGGACCACCTTCTATGGGAGTGTTCTGAATTTTAATTTAGAATGGACGTCATAGATTAGTTGCAATATCAACGTTGCTTTCAATTTAACCCTAGGTTTAATTCGAATGAAAGCTGTAGATTGAACCATTTCTACAAGAGAGTTGTGAATCGACCCTAAGCATTTTCCTTACTGTGTTTTCTTCTCAACTATTCATTACTTAATATAATAATGTGTAAAATCGGGGAAATTTACACATTGTAGATAAGGCTTCGTCGCACTATTGAAGCTTAGACCAAAATAAATCGCAATGCGCACAAGCCAGGTTATACCAGTAGTAAAATTTATATCAAAACAAATTGTAACCTTTAAAAAGTAAATGATCATTATCATTAAAGTAAATGATCATCATGATTAAAGTCAATGATCATTATGATTAACGAGTCATACACCGATTAAGGGGAAGAATTGATGTATGACTCGTAAAACTCACTCTCATTTTTGGATGAAAATGATATGATGTAAGCAATTTGTATCTTTAAAACTATGCTCACAATATATTATATATTTCGAACACTGTGCTAGTTTATATATCTATAAAAAGCTGTAATTTACTTATATGAACTTTTATTATAACTTATACTTCTAAATACTCTTGTTTTATTTAAATTTCACCAATCATTACATTTAAATAAAAAAAAAAGAATTTTCTAAATAAAAGTATTTTTTTTCGTCAGTCTTAAGCAAAGTTGGCTTGAAAAAGTTGTATTGTCTATGGCCTACATGGATATTTACCGTGTATGGGAATCGAATCGGTTATATCTGATGTAGTCACTTTCATAATCATTACATTATAGTGGATGCAACTAAGTACTGAAGTAAATTAGGATTAAAATTAGTAAACCGTTTCTATTAAAGTAAAAACATAATGACAAAATCTAGCTTTAAGTTATGAGTAATTTTCTCACGGAATCCGGATATTGCTTTTTATATGACAAACTAGCATTGCCCGCGGCTCCGCCCGCGTTCAGATGACCAAAAACCAAATTCTTAGGTTTTACATATTAGTACACTCTTACATTTGTAGCAGTTTTTCTATTTTTTCTCAGAAATGAGATATTTTCCCGCGATAAAAGGCATCCTATATGTTGACCCGGATAACCAGCCATACCAAATTTCATCGAAATCCCTCCAGTGGTTTTTCTGTGATGCAGTAACAGACAGACAGACAGACAGACAGACAAAATTTCTAAAAACTATAGATTCAGCCTCTGTACCGATAATAATGTCTATTTCAATAAGATTTTCCAAAAAATATTTAATGCACAGCTTCGGCTTAGTTACAATTTTATTATATACCTATATAGATAAATCTGCCCTAAGCCCTCTTGCGATAAATACTAAGGCGTTAAACAAGTGTTACATTATATGTAATTTTGTAAAAAAAGGAATTAGTAGGTATTAAAATCGTATAATGCTTTATTGTACATTCAAAAAAAAACCAAGCAAAAAATAGTAAAACTATAAAAAAATATAAAAAAAACAACTAAAGTGGTGTAATTATCATTTATAAAATAATTTTGAAGTCGGTGCACATTTTAAATTAAAATTTTATTATTATACTAGCATTGCCCGCGGCTCCGCCCGCGTTCAGATGACCAAAAACTAAATTCTTAGGTGTTACATATTAGTATACTCTTACATTGCAGTTTTTGTATTTTTCCTCAGAAATAAGATATTTTCCCGCGGTAAAAAGTATCCTAGGATCGCGCGCTACATCGCCCGGTTTATATAGCTTGAGCAGGCGGTCGAGCGATGCGGGGCAGAGGGGATGGACTCGCCGTAGGCATCTCAATGCTCGCCAAGCATTAAAAATGTTTCGCTACTAATTACTTCTAACAACGATATCTCAAAAACTATTCATCTGATTGATTTAGTGTAAAGAGCAATTTTAATCTGCATTAAATGACTAAGCTAACTAAAATATTCATTTGGATAAGGATTAATACCGAACTAAAGAAAATAACTTTGAAAATAACGTAATGTTTTTAATTAAAAATGTTAACATAAAAGTGGTTATTGTAAGTCAACCGTAAGAGATAGAGATATGCTATCGCGGACTTTTTTGTAGCATTTTTATAGATTTTGAATTCTCTAGTACATTACTTAACTGTATCTTTGCTAGTTTACGCGGCGTTCGCGTGGAAAGTTCCCATTTGGCGAGATTTTTTGCGACCTCTTCAACATTTGTCGCCGTATTTCAGCTAATTTACATAAAAGCATAATAAATTATATACCTAAACCTTCCTCAAGAATTACTCTTTCTATTGTTGAAAACCGTATAAAAATCCGTTCAGTAGTTTTCGAGTTTATCGCGTACAGACAGACAGGAGGACAGACAGGAGGACAGAAAGACGCGGCCGGGGGACTTATTTTTATAATAAGTATAGATGTCATATCTTAGATGAAATATTTTTTATATATTTACTGAAATGAAGCTATGGAGTAAAAGCTAGCTGAATACAGCTGCAGGATTTGATCTTAAGTATCTAATAGCCAGTGTCGTTAAGACCTCAAATTAAAGTGTACTCAACAGTGGTTATTAGGAGTCTTATTGTATTCTTTTGTCGTGAAGTCTGTCTTTGATCATTTTCTTTCTGGCTTAAGTTGTGTTGTGTCATCTATACATATAATAAAATTCTGAGTCGAATCTGCACATTAAATATTTTTTGGAAAATCTTATTGAAATAGTCATTATTATCGGTACAGAGGTCGAATAATATAGCTTTTAAATTTTTTGTATGTTTGTCTGTCTGTCTGCATGTCTGTGTGCCTGGAAACGCATTACGAGAAAACCACTGGACAGATTTTGATGAAATTTGGTATGATGGTAGCTGGTTAAAACGTATCTAGGTACCAACCCGAGCGGAGCGAGCGTAAGTCGCTAGTGTTTAATAAAAAAACAATTGTACGCGACATTGGCGTAGCAAAATTTTGAAAGTCACTGAAATAAAAGATTAAGTTGAAACTACAACAGTATAAGCTCTATTTATGGTATCCTGAATTGAAAGGAACGAAAAAATAAAATATGTGCCATCTATGAAATGAGTGAAACAAATTTTTACTTTATTCAGGACAGTGACCTCTGCAGATCATCTGTGAAAACTTTTGTATACGCTTTTCAAGTATACACAATATAATATTATGTAGGTAATGTTTTCTTATAATTCTCAAGTTTTACACCAGATGGCGTTGTTATAAAAATAATTTTAAAACACAGCTTAAACCGCTGATCGTAGAAACGTGTTTGGAGGACGTATTCTACGAGTTTATACATTCAATAAGAAAGAAATTTTCGAAATTCATCCACTAAGTGACTAAAATAGCGGATTAAAGAAATTGGTGTTTAACTTTAATATAAAATGTTTTTTTCGAAATTCATTCCTTAAAGGGGTAGAAGGGAGTAATAAAATTTATATGGGCAATTAATATTATTGATGATCAGAATTACTTGAAAGTTGGTATTAATAATTAATAGATACTGGGTTCGAATCTCAGGTTGGGACAAGTTTTGTCGATGAGTTCTGTTAAGAAATTTTCAGTAACTCTGATTAGCTCGAGGTTGGAAAGTTGGGCGGTATTTCATTCATCCGTACCCCGAAGAATACGTAAAGCATCGACCCCGCCTGATTTCTCACCGATATTACATTGTCTTCTCACCGAAGTTTAAGACCAGGAGTAGAAAGTGCACTTATGTTTGCGCGCATACTTGTGCACTATAACATAGCTAGTCTCTGTATGTGACCACCAGCCGAAAAATCGATGAGAATGACGCTATAATCATTTTTATTAGTCCAAAATAATTAAAAATGTCTCAACAGTTATTATAGATAATACTTTCTTAGATTTACGCTAATATTTGTCATTTTAAATAAAACTATCTTTTCGGATATTTTAATTTTTGGTTCCCCACGTTCCGAATGCCTCTCCTGCGACCATGACTGCTGTAAATCATTCGAAACCTCAGGAACCAAAAATCTAAATAAATCCGCGAAAAAATCCGAAAAGATAGTTCTAGTTATACTATAGATAAAGATAGTTTTAAATATCAAAAATACACACCATTAGCAGATTGATCGTTTAAGGCCTAGGTCTAACTTAAGTTTAGGTTTACGACGTTTTGTATGACGATCAGTGATATCTAGAATTACCTACTGCAAATATATCAGTTGTGTTATTTAACTATGAATTTATTTTTAAATACAGATAGCTTATACAAGATATTATTTTATAATCCTTAAAATCTAAAAAACATATATTAGAATGATATATTATAGTTAACTGTTATTCTTATACATATATGTAATTATTGTACAAAGACAC